CACCAACTGACCAAAGGGACATTCCACACCATATGGCGTCATGCTCAGCATATAAAGCTGGGGGAAGAAGAAGGAAGGGGGGGACGTTCAGAGTGATGGCGTTTGTCTTCCCAAGTCACTGTTACGCGTGATGGAGCCCTGCTTTCCTGGAGGTGGCTGAACACCTGCCTGCCCATGGGAAGGAGCGAATGAATTCCTTGTTTTGCTTTGCTTGTGTGTGTGGCTTTTGCTTTACCTATTAAACTGTCTTTACCTCAACCCACGACTTTTCTCACTTTTATCCTTTCAATTCTCTCCCCCATCCCGCTGGGGGGCAGTGAGCGAGTGGCTGTGTGGGGCTTAGTTGATGGCTGGGGTTAAACCATGACAACCATGTTTTTAACATTTTGAAACACACTAGTATTACAGACTGCTTGATATATATGGGTGGACTGCCCAGCCTTTGGATAACTCTGACATGGAGATAGAAACAAGTCAAATGGTTCTGTTTGGAACAGGTTGAATCCACATGCAGTGTGTTCCTAAGCACAGTGTAGTACGTGGACTAATAAACCCAGAAATCACTGTGCTCCACAGCCAATAGTGTCAGTGGCCTTACGTGTTCTTCTACCTGTTTTTACATTTTTCATTTTCCATGTTTCACCACCTTAGGTTACCTCAGCAACCTATTGCCCTATATAATTAAGAGATGACCAACATTATAAAAGGAAGTGACAACTGCAATGACGCTGGTCTATTAGCAAGGTTATCTTTCCCTCCTACTCAGCTTCCTACTAAGGAAGGGCATTCCTTTCAATGTCGAGGAGGAGTACTGATTAGAATTTGCAGGCCACAAGATGTTTTTGCATAGAATAAGTGGGAAATCACAAGTTTGCCACCAATCCCATATTATTTCCCAAGTCATCTGTAAGGAACAAAAATTCTCAATTTTAATTTACAACTCGCAAAACATTTTTCCTGATGTCTTGTCTCTGAGAAATCTACATTAGACAAACCCAGAAGAAACCATAAAATAAGGAACTGAAGTTAACATTATTCATTGTGTGTATAGTAGATGAGTGCTGTCAAGACAGCTAATAGTGTACATAATAGCCTATGAAAGCATAATTAGCCATTTTGCATTACATTTGTCCTTGAAGAGATAGAAGATCAAGAAAGTATTCTCTAAGGATTTGACGATGCATTATGGTTACATCAGGTAAGAAGAAAACCCTAATTTTCAAACCAAAGTGATACTAGATTAAATTCCTTACCCAGTAGGGCATTTCCTTGAAATAATGCTTGCTTTGTTCCAAGGTTATTTCCATTTGCAGACATAGCATTACTGTAAAACTCTGAGCTAGTTAGATCACCGAGAATTGCATCCAAATTATCCAAGTCTCCACTCATCTGAAAAAGACGCAGTAAAATACCAAGGTTATTTACTATCATATGGCTATCCTTCAGCTTTTATTTAGCTCCTCACTAATCTTAAAAGATATAACTGGGAGACAAATGTTTTAGTTCACTGACAGTACCTTGGACTCTCTCCCAATTTCCAAAGAACTTCAGATATCATTTAGCTACATTTTTTTTAGAGTATTTCACTTGGCTAATTTTGAGAATTAGGAGAAACTGGCAGTACACATAAATAAAACGAAAAGGACCTTTGAATATTTACATTTCAGTCATCACAAATTACAAAGATAAAAACACTAATGAGAGCAGACAACGTCAAGAATGTGTACCATTCAGTGATAATGTATTTGTCATACACAAAAAGCCTAATTTGATCACCGGTAAACACAACAACACATGAAAAGTACCCACAGATTTTTCTGGCCAATTGGAGCCCTAACCTTCTTTAAAAATTTGTCTTTAAATCAGATGCAGCTTTAACAGAAAAAGAATTGCATATATAGTGGATTCATATCTTCACAAAACAAGCTTCTCTGAATATGTTAATTAGATCTCAGGAGCAAGGACTGAAACTACGCATTGGGTATTATTACACAGTTGTTAGTGACTTTTCCATAAGTGGTACTCAAAAAAATGTTATAAGGTGTTTCATTTATAGTCAGCCATTAGCTAATAGAAAAATGGTGCAGTAATTTTTCTTTACATAGTTATTACTGACTTGGGAATTCCAAGTTCTAAGATATCAACATGTTTTCAATAAACTCTGCCATACTGACCAGTATTTTCTGCTTTGAAGCAGTTCCAAATGTGACTTGGGAACTAAATACAAAAGAAATACTATCTAGACTTTATAATTTTAACAACAGCTGTCCCATGGTGATATAGTTTGCTGTATCATGACATTTCTTGGAATTTCAACTCTAGAAACATTGAAACAAATAAATATGAATATATTTATTTGAATGCTGAATATATATATATTTGGAACAACATTTTTCCTCACTTAAGGAAAAAAAAGAGTGCTAAAACCAATGAATGAACTAAAACCAATCAACGAACTAAAACCAATCTATAGCTATTTTAAGTATTACATATTTTTGTTTATTGTTTATATTTTCAAAACAAAATCATGTTTTAACCTTTTGCTATCGTACTGCCAACTAATCGCAGAGGCAGTTACAGCTCCATTTCCTAATAAGCCATAAAAATAAACATGTGCTATGTGAAATAGCAGATGTTAAAGATCTGATTTTAAGGAATAATTTGTAAATATATGCTACCTTAATCGTACCATAACTTAAAGATAACATTAGTCCAGGACTTCAGTACAGCACATTTGGTTATATACGTATCTTGTAGTTCTCTTTGTTTGTGCTTTCTCAGTTACAGTAAAACCTGAGCGTATCGTTTCACACCATTTGCACAAAACTTTCTTAGAAATGTTTACACACGCATACTAAAAAGAGTGTTCTATGTTTAGCCGTTCACTGTAATAAGAAAACATTGGTTTGTTCACTACCATCATTTTACAGTATACCATACCTCCTCCGCTGGTTCCGTTTTTATTTTCATCTCTTTTTCTTGACTAGAAGTAGGAACTGTAGAGCTACTGCATTGCCCCATTTTATTATCCACACTTTCTACTTTAGGCTTCAACTCTTTGGAAAGCGGGTCCTTAACATCATCTTTATCTAACAGATATCTTAGTAAAGCATTGTTTTCCTTCTTCTTTGGGCTCAGTTGTTCCTGTTTGACAGTGCCTTCTCCACAGGGGGCTGTATTACTAGCGTCATGATACGTGTCTTTACCAGTAGCTTCAGCTGTGATCTTGGCTACCTCTGCAGGAGAATTGCCATTCTGCAACAATTTATGTAAAATCCTATGCTTCTCTTGCAGGAGCGACCCATGCATGTTTGAGGAGGAAGATACCCCTCCAGATGTTGATGAGGAAACTCCTGAAGGACTGGTAACGTTGGTAGAAGATTCTTTACAATTTGAGTCTAAAGGCGAGTTTGATGCTGTAGAATGTCCTCTTTCATCTGAGGAGCATGTGAGTAGCTGAAGCAGTTTTTTATGCCCTTTGCTTTCAGATGGTCCTCTCTGACTTTCAGATGTCTCCAGATTTCCCTCTTTACTGTCTTTTTCACTAACAAGATCCCTGCTGTTTGACTGGCAGATGGAACTTTCCACTTGGTTTTGTTCACAATACAAACCAGAAGGGCTTTTGGAGTCCTGGGTACTTGTTTTACTTTGCTGAGCTATGCTCATGTTTGGGGAATTATCCAATTTTGGACCCGGTGAAGACAGTGTTGATAAAAGGGAAGTTCCAACACCCTCACTAATGGCTTGAAGAGCACTAAGAGAACTGCTAGAGAAAGTGCTGTTGCCGGTGTTGCTGGCAGATCCCATTGGAGAGTGCATGCCTGTATCACATGACAGAGATCAAACTTATTAGACTACAGTCCTGTCTGTATCTACTTTTCCTTTGGATTATGTATGACTGCCACATTGAGTTAATGATTTTAAAATAAATTTTTACCGTGAAATTAGGTATACTACATTTAAGTAACACATACAGGGTCATATAGAACCGTTAAAAAGGATGAAAGATGGAATTCAGATAAAAGTGAGAAAAGACAGCTTAAAAAAAAAGATGACCTTATAGGAAAAACAAAATACCTGTAACTGGAGAAAACTGGTGTGAACTCATTTTTGGACTCCCTCGATTCCTAGGAGATATCATTAGATTCTGTTGGTTGGAAGTTAAACCAGGACTACCATGTGGTGGGCTACTTATATTTAACCCATAACTGTTGTTCTGATAAGCAGAGGACTGCATTCCGGGCCCGGAGTTCACTGGCCCCATATTACCAGGGCCTCCATATCGAGTGCTGCTGAGCTGACCCACTGCATTGGGATCTCCCATACCATAGTTCCTGTTCTGCATTGGCATGCCTTGACCAGGTGACATGTTCATAAGACCACCAACAGAATTTGTGTTTCCAGCCACAGGTGTTCTGATGTTTTGCCCAACTGAATTAGGATTTGGCCGATATCCATTTTGTTCTCTGTAAGTTCAACAACATCCCCAGAAATCCCAAGAAGACAAATTAAAATCTTATTTGGAATCAAGTGCTACAAAGACAGAATAACATTATTAAATAATTTTCCACATATTTTTTTTCAAAAAGAGCAGTGAGAATTCAAGCTTCCACAAAAGCAGAACTAAGCCATGCCACTCATTTATTCATTACAGAAGTGCTTTGTCCTTTAGGTGATTTGAGTTATAAGTACATACAGTATCACCCCTTCAAAAGGCTTTCATCAACAGCCATTAGTCAGATTTATCAGTTTAAACATCTTCCTTCTTTTACTCCCTTCCTGAGTCAATGCATGACACCATTCTACTGTGCACACTAAAGATGCCCTGAACAATCTCAGCTACTCATTTTTCAGCATCTGGAGGCACTTTAATGCCAGAAGCAGACAGATTCCCTCCAGAGTGGCATTTCAATTATTCTTGCAATCAACAGGAACAGGTCACAGGAAGTACTATTTAAGGTACATTTAACTTTGAGTCATCAATGATGCATCTGAGGGAGTTTTGTTGTCTTTTTAATTGGTCTGCAATTAAAAAGAGGAAGATAAAGCATGTAACTGAGCATTTCTATTTTCAGTGTTTCATCATTATAAATGTTAACCCAAAAGAATAATGAATACATAATACAGGCTCCATGCAGGCACTGAGCAGGTCTCTTTTGACCGTGACTGTCTTTCTGCCACACAGTTAAGTTGGGAGTGTCAGTGTTAGGTTGACACATTTATTTGTATGCTATGCAACTCTGCTTCCCAAGTTATTCCCCCTCTGTTTGAGTTTTAATCAGATAAAATATTTTGGTATATTATTTTTTTCAGGTATCTTCAAGGTCAGATATATTGTTAAAAGCTATGACACTTAAATGACAAACAGATACCACTGATTTCACCTTTGAAGAAAGTGGGTAGAGACAAATCCATGGCGGTCATTAGTTACAGGATTTCGAAATAGTTTACTCTTTGTTTGTGCTGTCACTATAGTACCATCCGCTAAAGAAAACCGATACAATGGTGTTTCAGCATGACCTTGTGTATAAGCTGTAAAGGAAATACACAAATATAGTTCGTATTTAAAAACCCAAGAATTATTAATATGCACTCTACAGATTTGCTGAAGATTCAAATAAAAGATTTTTAAAAAGGTTAAAAAAAGGTTTTTAAAAAAAAGACACACCCAAGATAGATATTCAGAAAAAGGAAGTATTCCACATTTTCTCCTAAATTAGTAGAGGGAAGATAAAAGCAAACAAGATTATTTTGATGCCGCAGTATTTTGTGCTCACCATGCACAGTTGGCAAAGTTCTACATTTGTTAACAGACTTCCAAGGCTAGGTTAGTAGGTTTCCATGGCTTCTCCTTGGGGAGAAGGACTAATCAACACTTAAATACTAATTGCACTAAAATATAGAGGTAATTAATATGGAATATAGAAGTGAAACTTGGAAGCCTTCAGATGAAGTGTTTTTAAGTTTAGAAGTTTTATTTCAATCAAAAAATTGTGCAAACCATTGCTTTTAATCCGAGCTCCCAATTTCTTGTTAATTTAGGATTTATTTAATCAGTTAAGTCAAAGAACTTCCAAAGGAATGGAAACTCCATTTTCTGCCAGTGTGAGCTTCTCATATTCACTTAATATCCTCTCTACTTGAATTACTCTGTGAATCCTTCAAAAAGACTAGAGTTTGGAAAACTTAAAAAATGTCATCTTTCTTACAGGGGCTGTACTTCACTTTATCTATCAAGGTTATCAAATTATCATTACAAAACACATAACACTGGAACACTGAAAATATTTTGAACCCTTGTGTCTTGAATAAGAAAAAGGCATCAACATAACTGTTACCACTTCTAGTGAGCTATCCTTTAACAAAAGAAAGGATAAATTAAAATGAAAAGAAAGTCAAACTAACATTAAACAAATGTTAACAACCTAACGATAATTAAGGATTACATGTTATTACAGAAATATAGCTGTCATTGTCATTGCTATATCCATCTGTGGAAACATAGATTACTTCAGGCTCCCAGATGATGTATCTGATATTTTCCATGGAAATTGTCAAAAGAGACACATTAGAAAAAACAAATAACTTCCATCAGAATTCCTATTTCTCAAGAGGTCATCCTCCTTCAGCTTGTAAATATGACTCACAGCAATTAACACTAACAAGAAATATGAAAAAAATGAACACAGGCAAAATTTAGCGTTTTTGTTTTTCAGGAAAAAATGCAGCCACCAGGAGAAGCAGTACGACCAACACTGCAGAGACACATTAGAAAAAACAAATAACTTCCATCAGAATTCCTATTTCTCAAGAGGTCATCCTCCTTCAGCTTGTAAATATGACTCACAGCAATTAACACTAACAAGAAATATGAAAAAAATGAACACAGGCAAAATTTAGCGTTTTTGTTTTTCAGGAAAAAATGCAGCCACCAGGAGAAGCAGTACGACCAACATTGCAACAGATTTTTACCTTCATGATAGTGGCGTTTGTTTGACCATGACTGTCCATCATTATGGCATAAGAACCTCTGAATACACCGACGAATTATATCTTCAAAGCCAGGTCTCATGGAAGACCGTAATGAGTTTGTATCAATGTTGACAAGTTTGCCTGTAACAGGGGAAAAAATACACAAGTTAAACTCTTTATGACTATGCCAATCCTTTTGTATAAATGTGGTACATTTCAGAAGGCTCCAATATCACCGTTTTAATTGTTCATCAGCCTAACATCAAATTTTGAGTATGCAGAAGTTACATTTATGAATTATCTGCCATGTGAAAGTATGATGCTGCTTGTTAAAACATCAATATTCAAAGGGATTTAGGTAACTGAATAAGAGGAAGTTAAGCACCCACAGGTTAATGCCACAGCTTTAGAAAACAGTAACTTTAGTCTCTGGTTACAGGCACCCAAAAGATGCATACAGAGTAAAATTTTCAAAAATACGGACCAACTACATCCACAAATGAACATCATAAACACTAACTGGCACCTGAAAAAGCCCCATCTAGATTATATAAGTATTTCAATTTAAACAGCATAAAACACTTTAAACATTAGCTCACATACTGTAGAAAAATACAAGCATTCTAATGAACTTTCATTAGCTTCAGTTTGGATTTAAAATATTTCTTACATGTAAAGGAAAGCACAATGGCAACCATTTGAAATGCTGCCAAGTTAAAACACAAGCAATGCTTTATACCAAGCTGCCGAACAATAGCATACTAGCATAGAGACAGAAAATGCGTCCCACAGTTGTTGTTATACCCCACTGCCAACAGACGTATATTGCAAAAACCAGCTGGGAATTCTCAGTATGAATTCTGCTAGTCACTACAGACACACGATCTATTTACATACTTGACTTATTTAAAACGAGCACACGGACAAAAAAGGTACCTTCATACCTTCGTCTTGGGTACATTTCTCACCTGAAAGATCATGTCTTGTAATAAAGCTCTCTGGATTTGTTGGAAATACCCTTTCTGCCGTTGTGATACGACGTGCTACACAAATCATACAGGACTGCAAATCTGTATTTAAAAAAGAATGTTTCTTCTTTAATTTCTCTCCTGTTTTATTCTATTAAAGCATCTAATAAAATAGCTGAAGTGTCCTTCGTTGTTAAAATGGAAGTATAAACAATAAGAATTTAAGTTTTGCATTCTGTTCCTACTTACTTTAAAATGGATTGCAGAAGCTACAGATTTACATACCAAATACCAAAAAGCTTTAAGTGGAGATTTCCTTTGTGCACAGTAATTCCACAAAATTTCCTACCTTCCCCCTCTTCCATCATAGCTCTTGGCTGAGATAAAGCAAAGCACTGCATTGTTTCATATCTTTGACGCGTATCCTGGTGGCTGCCTACATCTTCCAGAAGATCATGAGAGGTTTTCACCATCATCCGACAATTGAATGTATGACTCTTCTGTCTAGGTGTCTCATTGGTCCAAGCAACTCCATTAACTTAAAAGAACGCAGTAAGAATTTATAAAGATTTTCAGATAAAATCAATTCATAACTGATTTTTCTTAATTTAGATACTTTGTTCCTAGATTAGAGAGATTAAAGAATATTTTAAGATGCTTTCTCAATATACCATCAGTTTTATACCTTGGGAATAGTAGTATTGAGAACCAAGTAAAAAAACCTCTTTCCCTTACATGACACTTTCAGTCACTTGAAGGAGAGCTGAAAAGTCATTCGCATATGTAAAAAACAAGCAGTTCCCTCAGCTAATCTTGTGGCTTTAGGCAACGTGTTCCTCTAGTACCCTTGTTTTAAGTTAGAGGTAAACAAATTGCAAAGGCTAAAGTACAATGTGAATTTCCAGCACATTTATTTCTGGTGGTGTGCTTTAGTAAGAACACAGTAATATTTTTCAAGATTAACATACTTCGATAATCAAATATTCTTTGTATAAGTAATTTGTTTTGAAAGGTTATCTATTACAAGTTGTTTTTTTTCTTCTCTGATTGTTTTCAAATAGCCTAGTAACAGTGTAGTAAGTCAGCTTTTATTACCTGAAGATTTAGGTAAGTTTTTAAGGAAGTCCTTCCGGTCCTCTTCATGCAAGATACCATAGACACTTGTATTAACCAAATCTTCTTGTTTATATTGCAGATACTGTGTGACATTTTCTGACACAAATACTATGTTCCCATCTCGATTTACAACAAACAGGAAACCATCCAATGCCTAAATATTAACATGAGAACATACCATATAAGACACACTGCCTAATTCTGAACATAATTTAGTTTAAAAACTATGTGGGTGATAAATGTCAAGTTACAATACATGCATTTCTTTTCAAGGGTAGAGCTGAAGTTTTAAATTTTTCTCTGAGGAAAATTGTTTCTGGTAAGGAATGATTTCAATATTAAAAATTAATATGTTCATTTGTTATTCCATTGAGCTCTTTCACAGTGATAACCAGCCTTCTTGTTTCATTCTTGCTTTATTTGAATGCAAGATAATGAATTTGTAACATTATTTCAATAGCTGGCAAATTGAAACAAGAAGAAATTCAGTAGAAACAAGTAGTAAGACATGAACTTAAAGACATTTCCACCAGCAAGTGGCGAGATAGAAGATGGTCTATTCATATCTTAAAATACTGTATTTTCTTAACTGAAAGAAAAATTCAGTATCTATGTAAAACAGTTAAGTTTCAAAAGTGCTTTTTAATGGACTTGTAAATATGGGATTGGTTTTCTAGGCATAATAAAAGGTATCTGCTATGTACCTTTTTTTACATTTATTCTTAGGTTATTTTACTTGATGGCAACATTTGTTTAAAATGCTTCACAATTTAGAAACACACACCCCAATACACATCACAAACCTCTACTCTTTGCAAAACCTCATCCGTTTATTTTAATGCCTAATCCCTAAAAAAAGCAAGATATTCCTCGTACTACTAAGCACTGCTTTAGTAGTAATTTGCTAATGACTGCTGGAGAAAGTAAAGCACAAGAATACTAGAAAAAGCCAAATCCTATTCTTCTCTTTCCTTCTACAGAGAATTTCAGCAAAATTAAGAAAACACGACAGATTTTATTCCTGTCCCTTTCAAACATAGTTCTGTATAGTTCTTGCATACTATTTATTACTATAGGATTGCAGGCTTTATTGTAATATTTTCACCTGCCTTAAGTATTTGTTTCCATAGGGATTTACTAGGGCCTAATTTGTACTTGCCTGTAATAAAAGAGGTCCCAATGAATCCTTATCAATAACTCCTTGACCCGTAGAAGATACATCAGCTTTCTGAACATCATCATCATTAGAAACTGCTTTTCCTGAAACCCAAAAGATACATTTCAGTGAAGCAACATTTCATATGAAGACCAAATTTTAATACTACAAGCCAGATTCTAGGAAGCATGTGAATAAAGGGAAAAAAAAAAAAGCATAATTAAGAGAGGAAGTCTCACATATTGTTAGTTGCTTAAGACCAGAAAAAATGTCATGGCTACATAATGCCAAACCCTTTGCTTACATAAATTGACTTGACAGTTAAAATTGGATCAACTTGTTTTGTGAACAATATTTCTTCTGCTGCATCTTTCAATGGCCATTAAACACATTCATTATACATATCTCTTCCTTCTGGTTTTGTTTTGATCATCTCATCATCGTTGGTCACAGTTTTCAGATGCCATCACCATTGTTCTACGAAAAGGCTTTGGCTCATGTTAATATATGTGTGCATGTGTATGCGTATGTATGTATACATATGTGTGTATGTATAATGAAATCATATTTTAAGAATCAAAATATCCTAAATATATCGATTTCAGGGGAAGGTGGAATGGGAATCCACACCAGGCAGCAGAATTACAGAAAACAAATGGTAAACTTTGTTCTGTGGTACTTGCTGGCTGGCTAAGCAGACCATAAGAAGAGTACAACATCCTAAGGGAAGATTACCACATACTCGGCTCTATAATGAAACAGAATTATTACATTAGAATACACTTACTTAAACTAGAAAAACCTTAAAAACAGAAGTTTTGGGGGTTTTTTTTAGAATTGTTTTAACATGTTTTCAAAAGATACGGCAATTTACCAAGACAGGTAAAATATATACCATAGCTCACTTGATTTTTTTTTTAAATACTTTACTGATCAAAGGAAATATGTACACTTGGCAGGCTATAGTCATTTGGGGGTGGGTGGGGGGAAGGAGGGAGGGGT